TTTATTGTAATGATAAATAATTACATTATAATTATCAATAAACAGCAAACTTGAATTTTTTTTTTTTTTTTATTTCAGCTTCAAGTCCATTTGAACGTCGGCAGCTCCGCCTCCTCCGTCACGAAGTATTCTCTCATCGGATTTCTTTGGGCGTCTACAAAAGCCCCCGAAAGCCACGACAACGCCGTGAAGCAAAATATCCTTTCAGCGTAAGAAACTGAATCCTTGGGGGCATAAGCAAGCAAAGCCCTGTAAAGAACAAATAGAGAGAGAAACGCATATAGAACGAACAAATTACAACAAGAATAACACCGATAATAATTATTATAATTATAATGCAACTATATAAGAAGAAAAGGCAAGAGATACACCGGCATTCTGCTGACGCGGATACTCATCATCTTTGTATTCCTTTTTCTTCCTTCATAGCATTTTGATTTTTTTATAAAATTTGAATTTGTTAAATTTACATTCATCTCCTGTCATTTTACTTTAACAAGTTTAATTTATTTAATTTATTTATTTAATTAATTTATTTATTTATCTCACCACTCAGGCGAATTCGATCGCAAGTCCACACGAAAAATAAACAAAGAGGGGCCCCCCAACTCCTTAGCTAATTTCAAAAGGCGTTGCATGCGCTCGCGTCTGCTGCAGCCATCAAAGGCAACGGAATTCTTCAGAGATATAACGCCTGAGTTGATATGCAAAAACACAAACAGAAACAAATATATAAATACACACACACAAACACACACACAGCCACACATCCATGCATGCATGCATGTGTGCATGCATGTTGTGATTATATTCGCGAGGAAGTAATATATCAGATATAAGATTTCTTTTTTTTTTTTTTTTGGTTTTATAAGGAAAAGGGGATGATTGAGGGCTTGGGGTTTTCTATACACACTGCAGTGTACGTACAGGTGTCTGGGTCAACTGCGAGCTGAATGAGGCTTTCTTTGCTTTTTTTCTGATTCACTTCATTTATTAAACTTTGAGCGGTTTTATCTATTGTAAAAACAGAAGAAGATGAATTCCTTCTTGCTGCTGCTGCTGCTGGCTCTGTAGCCACCCCCCCCTCTCCTAGCTGCATCGTTGCCTCGGGGGAGGAGGCAGAAGAAAGCATGAAAATAAATAAATAAATGAATATTTATTTTATTATTTAGATTTAATTCATATAAGAAAGAAGAAATACACGAAATTTATGTATGCTGCTGCTAACGCGGTGCAGCAGCAGAAAAAGTTGAGTCCGTCTCAGCCTGTTTTCGTTGTTGTCTGCATGCAACTGATTGATTTGTTTCAAATAAATAATAAATAATTCATTTTATTTAAATAATATTATTTAAAAAAAACAACAGATCAGCATTAATTGCTTCATGTGCAGTGGCTGGCGTCTTTGGGGCTGAGCAGCGGTCCGGCGGTCTACCTCCACCATACGAGTAAAAAGAAAGTAAATAAAATAAATAAACAAACATATTCTAAATATTTTTTTAATTATATTTCAAAGAATAAATAAATAAAAAAGCGAATAGCAAC